AAACAACCATGAAAAATTCTACAATAAACATGTTCTACCACTGAGTTGCATAGTGGTTATGAAATCGGGCTGCAAATCTTAAGGTCAGCAGTTTAAAACTACCAGCTGCTCTACGGGAGAAAGATGAAGCTTTCTGCTCCCATAAAGATTTACAGCCTAGGAAACCCTGTACAGGGTCGCTATGAGTTGGAACTGACTCCACGGAACATAACAACAACCACCACTGAATTTACAAAAAAAATGTATGACACGCATGGGATCACCCAAGTCGGAGTCAATTCAATGCTCACATGTTTTTGGCTGCCTACTCAATGAGTCACCTTTTGCTATAAAACCAAAACCAATGGCTGTCAAGTTGATTCCAAAATATATGTTTAAAACCGATGATCTAAACTCCCCAGATTTGCTGGGGATTTTTATGTTTTTCACTCAAGTTGCTCCTTCCTTCACCAACAATGCATAGTCCAGCCTGAGCTACTTATTTTAAGACTTAAAGTTTTTCCTCAAAAATCAACTCCTCAGGACTTACGGTAAGATAGTGGACTAGACAGACGTACTACAGAGATCCTCTACAACAAAGACACGAGGGACAAAATAAAATAGATGCAGATGAAGATTCTAGCAGCCTGAACTTCAAGAGGAAAGGTTAGCGAGACAGACTGGAATGCTTGCTGGGAAGAAAGACCAAGCAGGGCTGGCCAGACAAGGCTCGACCATCTTCTGAGCAGCTTTGGAAGCGGAGGGAAGTCTGGCAGAGTCAATTCACATGGGCAACAGACAAAGTAAGATTTTTTTCTGTTTCCTCACACTCTCCTGGTAACCACAAGTGTGGCCAGCTCCCATGAGTATCTATCCACCGCAGCCATGACGCTGCTCTCTGGGAGTTCAGAGCCACGTGACTGGGACCCATATCAGTGTGAGGTGGGGGCTGGCTGCACCACTTTGATTCTTGTTACCAGACCTACAAAACCCGCAGAGCCACTAGACTGATGTTTAACCAGTCACAGTGCCCCCAGCTTCCCTGTGGTCCTAAAAGACACTAAAGCCAGCTCTAAGGGCCCCCACAAACTATTTCCAGATTGAGTGCCCTGGACACAGATAACACAGAGACAAACAGGAACTCAATCTAGGGCCCAGAAGTCTGCTGTCACATCCCTTCCTCAATCACCTCGTGAGCCCCTTGAATTGCAGGAACCCCCCAGAGATTTCGCTCCTCCAGGAGTAACAACTGCACTGCTTATTTTCACAAATACAACAACCTCACAATGCCGCAGAGACAACTGATGATTTTAGCTCACACAAAGAAACAAGAGAAAATGACTCAAACAAATAATCAAGATGCAGACCTAGAAGATGTTTCTGAGGAAGAAGAGGTAATAGAATTAACTGAAAAAGAATAAGAAGGTACCTTTGAAGGATTCATAGATCATGGAAAGCAAAGAGAATACAGTAAAAACTTTAGAAGAATTTAGGGAAGGACTACAAGAACAGAAAAAATAAATGCAAGTCTTGAAATAATACAAAACTTGCCATTAGAAAACCAGAAGATTAACACCGAGATCTCAAAAATGGACAACGCATTGACAGCGCAAAGGAGTAGAGGCGAACCACTGGAAGCCCGAATTAGTGAGCTTGAAAAGAAATCTCCCAATAGTAGTATGCCAGAACAATCAGAAATAAAAAGGAAAAAATCCAAAGAAAGCCTAAGAGTTATGTGGGTCACCACGAAGAGGCATAACTTATAGGTGATAGTTAAAAAAGTTGTTGGAAGAAAAATTCCCCAACATCATGAAAGACAAGAAGCACTTAAGAATTAACGAACCCCAAACAGGATAGATCCCAAAAGAAAATCACCAAGATATATCATAATCAAACTTTCCAAAATCAAATACAAGGAAAGAATCCTGAGAGCAGCTCAGAAAACCAAAGTTACCTACAAAAGAGAACCAGTAAGAATAAGCTCCAATTTCTCAACAAGAAGCCATGCAGGCAAGAAGGCAATGGAATGTCCTATACAAAACTCAAAAAGAAAAATATTGCCAACCTAGAATCATATATTCAGCAAAGCTCTCCTTCAAATACAATGGCAAACTTAGAACATTTCCAGATAAACAAAATATAAAGAAATTTGTAATGACCAAACCAACTTTGCAAATATGCTAAATGGTGTTCTTTGGACTGAAACCAACAAAACAGAAACAACTGAGACTACCATTCATGACATCACACAGAACTCAGTCCAGATAAAGAAGTATTTAAAGTAAAACAAACCTACAAGATTGAAAATAGAGAACCAAAGATATCAATGTATAATGAAGTCAGCTACAAAGCAGAAAGCAGGAATAGTGTAGATACAGAATTTCCAAATAGCAAGGAAGTCCCGTAGATTTCAAGATAAAACAAACTGTCTTAATCAGGCTAACCTCAAAGAAAAATAGTACATCTGCACATCAAAATTTTAAAAAAGAGAAAAGTCACAAAGATTTAGTAAACATAACACAGCAGAAATGAAAATGCAAAGAAAACCCACAAACAAATAAACTTAGCATAGAAAATTATGTAGAACAAAGAATCTACTGCTGTACCACCAAAAAAAAAAACAAAACCACACAGAAAAATGACAATTCATCCCTATTGATAATGACACTGAATGTAAATGGATTAAATGCACCAGTCAGACATTAAGCAGCAGAATGGATATGAAAATAGGATCCTTCAGTATGCTGTCTATAAGAGACATATCAAAAAGATGGTGACAGTTTAAACGTCCATCAACAGAACTGTTAAACAAACTCTGGTACATACTCACAGTGGAATACTACAAAATGGTGAAGACTGATAAAACTATGAAACACTTTACAACATGGTGAACCTGAAGGACGTTATGCTTAGTGAAATTACTCAAAAGGACATACATTGTTTAAAACTAACGTGATTAAGTCTTTAAAATGATTTTCTTGTTAAAATAAACAATGTATGACAGTTATGGGGTGGAGATTACTCATGGGCTAGAGAGTAGACACATGTTAACACTGGTGACAGGGCAGGCAATATACAACAAGGAGGTTAGCAGAGGAAGATGAAGTGGGTGACAAAGGGAGGAATGAAATAAAATGAAGAGAGGTAAATGCTGTTAACTTGGTACATGGATGCTATTGCAAAGTGTATGATTTGTTGAATGCAAAACTGATGATTTGCTCTGTAAACTTTCAATCAATTCACAATATAAAGTTAAAAAAAAAAAAAGTCAACTCCTCTTTGAAATCTTTTTCTACTTTCTCAGATAGACTAACTCATTCTCCCTTCTCATTCCACAATAACAACTATAAAATCCTTTTTGCCCTTTCATTACCAGTTGCTTATCTCCTAGTAACAGCAAGTTCTTCATCTCCTGGCTCTAGCACAAGACTAATATTCAATATGACAAATTAACAGCACCCATTTATTGAGCTTTTAGTATGTGACAGGCATTATGTGAGGCATTCTGCATTCGTTATTTTCAACTAATCACATAAGTCTATTAACCCACTTTTCAGATTATGTAAACATATCACTGAAATAAAGTAACCTGTCTAGAGTCATTCACGTAGTATGACTTAGTCATACATTTAGCCTCAACTGAATGGACAAACCCCAGCCTTATAATTGAAACCAACTCCATCTAGGCAGCTGGATTTGCACTTTAGTATGCCTTATCAATTTCCATTATGCCTATGATCTAACCTATATTACCAAAAGATAACTCTTGTTGTTGTTAAATGTGGTCGAGTCGATTCCGACCCATACCGACCCTGCATAGGGTTTCCGAGGAGCAGCTGGTGAGCTTGAAACACCAACCTTGCAGTCTGGCGCATTAACCCACAGAGCCATAAAGATACTCTGCCTGTGAATGTATCAGCTAGAATGCTAGTTGAACGATAACACACCAAAATAAGAGAGATTATACTTAATTCTCTCCATTTTCTGTGTTCCTGGGAGTGTTGGGATGGCACAGGACCAGGTGTGCTTTATTCCCTTGTACACAGGGTCACTGCGAGTTGGAAGTGACTCGTTACCACCTAACATTACTGAATCGCTCCTTAGAACAGAAATCTTGAGTAATCCTTCTAGAGTCTGTTCCCTTGTATGTAAATGTACACTTCAAAATGGAGTCCAGGTGTGGCACTGTGGGTAAAGCACTAGATCGCAAGGTTGGCGGTTCAAACTCACTAGCTGCTCCTTGGAAATCCTATACAGGGTCACTACGAGTCAGAACCAACTCGAGGGCACTTACCAACAACAGTTCAAAACACTGCTATAAGACTTAAATAACATGCATAAGCTAAACAGCACAAAGCCTGGCACTTCAAGGATAAATGGTAGTTTCAAAAGGTGCTTCAAAAAGTTTGTGGTAAAATTCCACTGTCTTTTAATTCCACTTTTTTAAGATTTTTTTTGAAGCCCCTTGTATTATTACGAAAAGGTTAACCAAGTACAAAAATCAGAGCAATATCTAGTAGCTGACCTCTTCTACCCTATACCTTCTATAACCACTAGGTCCTCTAAAAGCTACTTTAGGTCACCTTTCCTATTGTTCCCATATTTGGTATGCATGTCATCTGTACCTTTGCTAGTACCTCACTACTTGCACCAATACAAAACCCTCTACTGAAACCTGCAGCATCCCCACTAGCATAAAACATAAGCTCACTGAACAAAATGTTAAATTCACTTTAAAACACGGTTTTCAAATGACAGTGACCAGTGGTCTCAGGAATGGAAAAGGCATTTGATCAAATAAGACTCCTCTAAGAGACCAACATCTACCATCTAACTTAAAAAGAGTTTTTCCTGGAAGATCACTTTACCAAGCACTTTATTGAAAGTAAATTATTCTCAAGTGTCAAAAGAACAATTTATCTAGTCACCTAATAGGAATTATTGAATAGGTGTCTCACTAAATTAACTGTTTAAATCTTTTTCACCAATTACTTAGTATTATATTTAAAACAAGTGTTTACCTTCTATCTCCACCAAAGGTTCCTGAGTAAATTCCTGAAAGAATTTGTAGAAGAACTTACTGCAAGCAGCCAAAACAGCTTTGTGGGCCTTAAAATGGTGCCCTAAAAAGAAAAAGGAAAACATACATAATTACAAAAGTCAAATGTAAAACAATAAAAGTTTAGAAAACTATAAAGAAAATAAAGCCTTTCCTTGCAATAGAACTATATAAATTATTGGGAACTTCAATGTAATATAAATTGAACTAAAGTCAGAATATTCTTGACAGGTATTTCTGCAAATTTTAATCCCAGACATGAAGATATATCTTTACCTCAAAGACCTTAAAAGGCCAGTTTATTGCACTTCCTACCACTGAAAGGAAGCACTTTCTGTTACTTTTATTTGAGGAGTAAAAGGCATGTCCTATTCAGTTAAAACTGCTAAATATAAAGGTTACACATCACTTTGCAAAAGAAAAAGCCATAGAATCAGCACCAAGTTAGATGTGTCTGCTCTGGAAAACACTGTAACATGCCTAATATTTGGAAACTCCATCAATGGCAGACATACAAAAGAACAGTTTTTCTTGGTAAGACTATCTTCATTAAATAAATATTTTAAAAAAAGATTCCCAAGCTAAATTTGACTGAAACCCCTGAGATATTATTAGTAAAGACCACACTGTTTTGGGTGTTTCCAAAGGGGAGCAATTGCTGCAAACTGAACCTGTCACATTAGCCCTCCAAAACTATTTGATAAACTAGACAAGAACTGACACTTCACTTCGCAAAGGACTTCAGTGAGAGTCCTCAAAACAGGTCATCAACAGGAGGTTATAAACTGAATCTGTAGAGAAATCCTCCCCATGCCACCCTGCACTTGAGTGTGCAATGTGACCAAACTTCATGAGGTTGCATGAAGTTAAAATGCGATGAAAGCCAGACTACATTGAAAGTGCGACTGGACAACCGGCAGAACGGTCTACAGGCGCCGACACGGACAAGTGCCCTCGGGTCCCAGGGGACTTTTGAAAGCGACCCCAAGGGGGTGGGTGAGGGGAGGGGAAAAACTAAAGCTGAAGCTCGCTCTCTGCCCACCATCCTACCCACCGTCGACAATCAGGGTGATGTCAGTAAACCGATCCTGCTCTCGCTGTTCATTCAATCGGTCCAAGATCATTTTATGATGTTCAGGGAACTCCTG